AGGGGCAGCTCTGGCTCCAAGGTGCCGAGTGCTGTGGTGTTCCGAGTCAGGGCAACCAATCCAGAGACAAAAATGCAGACAGACAGAGACAAAAATGCTTTGCTGTCCCGCAGCGAGGTAGACAAGCAAGCAGGCAAAGCTGAGAACCTGCTGTCCGGGGGGGCGGTCCCTTTAAGCACAAGCCTCAGATAGCCTCAGGCAGCAGCCACACAAAGCAACTACTGACCTGATGCTCTGCTGGAACCAGTTTCAGCTGGCCTTAAATGTGATTCAGTGTCCAATCAGTGTGGACGCGCTATTTTAAAATAGCAAAACGCTATTTCAAAATGCATTTTGTGTATAGATGCGTTATTTTGAAATATCTTATTTTGAATTAACTATTTGGAAATAATGCTGTAGTGTAGACATACCTTAATTGCTTATAGGTGACTTTTTAAATACCTTCAGCAACATGACACAGTTTTCTTACTAAAAGCCTTTGAGACAACTTTTGCAAGGCAGCCTCCACGCATTGCTGGCAGGCTTGCAGCAGTAAGTCCAAAAACTGCATCACAAACTGCAGGGCGAGCTCTGGCTCCATGTTGCCACCTGTGGTGGCCTCCCCGAAGGGTAGCACCGACACAGACGGGCACAGAGAAAAACGCTTTGCTGTCCCTCCGCGAGGTTGGCAAGGAAGCGGAAAAGCTGAGAACCGGCTGTCCGGGGGGTCCCTTTAAGCACAAGCCTCAGATAGCCTCAGACAGCAGCCACACAAAGCAACTGCTGACCTGATGCCCTGCCAGAACCGGTTTCAGCCACCCTTAAATGCGCCCCAGCATCCAATCAGTGTGGACACGCTAGTTCGAATTAGCAAAACGCTAATTCGAACTAGTTTTTAAGTTGAGATGCGCTAATTCGAATTAGCTTAGTTCGAATTAATTAATTCGAACTAAGTTAGTTCGAATTAGCGCTGTAGTGTAGACATACCCATATTGTTTGCTTGCTCCCAGTCTCCCAATCAATCTAGGTCACACCCAGGAGCCTGTCCTCTGCATTATTTACCTGCCATGCCATTTGTTGTGCCCTCTGTAAACGTTACCAGAGATGATTTTAGGTGTATAAGATTTTATGACATGGGCCATTCTCCAACATGAAGTAAATCACAATGGTTGTGTCTAAAAGACAGCCTGCAACTCGACCACAAGCTATGGGTGGGATGCAGGGGTCAGTGGGTGAGAGTCTTTGGCCTGGGTGATGCCCGGAGTCAGACAAGAGAAACACAATGGTCCCTTCTGGCCTGACCATCCCTGGATCTGTGGGGCCCAGGCTGTTCAAGTACCCTATGGGGAGGCCCAACTCCACAGCGCGTTTTAAAGATGAACAATGACTTCAATGGATAAGAGTGGAAGGAGGAGGGAACCGAACTAGGCGCTGCCTGTACATTAATAGAGATAGAGCTGTGGTCATGGACCTGCCTAATGTGCTCCCGGCATTCTCAGAAGTGTTTGTGCTGCAGACTCCTCTCCCTGCTCTGACCTTGTCTGCCCGGCCCCAGCTGCACCACAGCCCCGAGCAGCAGCAGAGACCTCCCCAGCAGTGCTCCCTGTTCATCAGACACTGTGCTGCACTGTCAACACTTCCGAGCAGCTGGGAGAACGGCCCCTGCTGTGTGCAGGAAGGGCGCATTTCACACTGCACCTGCTGGCCCGAGAGTGACCCTAAGTCAGGTCTTCCCAGTACAGGGTCTTATGGAGAACAGTCCTGCCATAGAGACCCCTGGCCTAGTCCCACCCCAGCCACTGGCCTGGGGGTGTGGCCTGGGAAAGGTGATTGCACCAGGATATTCCTCTGCCCAGACAATCCCTTGGAGAGGGGGCATGGCTTGGCAATGTGGGTGTGGCTTGGGGTATGGGGCATGGACAGGACTTTCCTGAAGCCATTCAGTCCCAGCCAATTGGAGTGCTCTTTAGAGACCACATGAGCCGTATTAGCAGCACAGTCCCATTTTTCCTCCGGATGCCTCAATACCGGGGATGTGCCAGGCTTCCATTCCCTCCCTGCACATGCCTGGTTGTTCTCTATGTGACGGGGCGGCTGGTGGGGTGGTGGGGTGGGGGGCAGAGGGTGCATGGGGAAGAGCAGTGGGTGAGGGCTGATTGAGTCAGAGCGGGGCTGGCGGTCAGAGCCCAGGTGAATGACACTTGCTCAGTGGTTGCTGGTAAACTCACCCACATGCGAAGCTCCTGCTCTGGGTACAACGTGCCTGGGAGGCTGTGGATCGGAGCTGGGTGAACAGACTCCCGCTCATGCCCTGGTCTGTGACACTGAACCTCTGCATTTCACACTGCGGGGGGTGGTCGCTGGGAGCCCCCCGTGGATACCCGACATGCACTGGCCTGAGGGAGGGGGCATGATGGCTCTCTATGAGTGAGACCAGCCTTGGCCTGTGGCTCATAGTCTGTGTGCTGGGAGGTGTAAATGGGAAGCCAGCACAGTCAGTCCTCAGAGAGTCCAGCCTGGGGTGGGGGGATGGGGGATAGTGTTTCCATTCACCTCGCTGGCCACACACACATCAGCCCTGCTCCCAGACACTCTGCAAGAACCCACAGGCCACTGGTTTCTCTTCTGCTCCCCGGGGGAGGAAGGGACTGGAGACACAGAGCCTTGGGAGCTCTCCTTGGGGGCCCAGCTGCTGCTGCAGAGTCCCCGGGCTCAGTCACCAGCTCCTGCTCCCCATGATCCTGCTGTGGCTGCTCTGTAAGTTTGGGGAGCGCTCCCGGCCCACGGGCTCGGGGAGGGGTCTCCAAGCTGTTGGGTTGGAGGGGAACCTGGATAATGGCTCTGCCCGGGCTGGGGGAGGGGAGATGTGGGGACCTGTCTGGAGTCAGAATTATAGTAGAGAAAGTGACTACACGTGGCTGTTTCACTGAGATCCGGATAATTAATTCATGTTGGGTTATAAATTCATGGCATTGTGGCATGTCTGACATGGTTCTCAGTCCTCCCCAAAGTTTGCAATAATCCCGATTCCCTGGACACAGAAGGCACCCACGGTTCATATCCAATGTATGCTCCATGCTGCCTAGCGATTGAGACATTCATTCCCCATTAAAAGGGTGTCATCGAGGTTTTTAATTCAAAAAGTCTGGTGCTAGGAAATGCCGTTATTGAGGTCTGGCTGCTCAGAGCTCACTTTGGTTCTGGGTCTAGGGGAAGCAGCTGGGGTTTTTGTTAATGCCCAGCCTGGGATTCTCAGCTCCAGGGTGAATTTCAGAAACTCCTACTGATTCTCTGTGTGACCCTTTGATCGCCCTGTGCCTCAGTCCCCAGCATAATTATAACACAGGGGTAATTATTCCCCCCATCTCAGTTCATTAATGTTTAATGCTTAGACACCATGGTGATGGGACCCAGAGAGAGAGATGACCATAGGCAGGAAGGATGGTCAGGATGGTCTAACTCTGCATGTCTCTTTCTGTTGTGATCACTGTGTGAAGCTGTAAATCATGGTGTTGCGAGTGTACAGAACGGGCTGTCAGGGCCCCGATCGTGGTGTCAGCCAGGATCTCACTGCAGGACGGGGGCCTCTGATTGCTTGGATTTTCTGACTGTTATTTGCTTACGTGTCAGTGTGAGCATTTCCCCAGTACAAGGTACTGATGGGTAGTTATGCCTTGTCTGCTCTTCACTCTCTCTGCTGCAGGTGCTGGGGTCACAGGCCAGGAGTTCTGCAGCTCCCCAGGTGAGTGTGTGAGCACCAGAGACCTAGGGAGGGAAAGAATGGCAGAGCAAGGAACTAGATCCCCAGGCCATTGCAATGGGAGGAGAAGGGAGGGGAGAAACCTTCTCTGTAATTCCTCAGATGGCATAAACTGAGGTAACTTTGCTGACTCCAATGCAGCAGGATCAATTTATACCTGCTTAAGGATCTGGCTTACTGTCTCCAGGGGAGGGACGCCAGCGGGGTATCTGGGCCCAATATAGTGGGATGCAGACACACAATGAAAACAGACGACACAGGCAAGTCTGACGCGTGTCTTGGTGTTGGACTGAGAGCTGGGTGTAACCGCAAACTGGCTATTTTAAACTCCACATTTCTGTCACTTCCCAAATGATGTCTCCTTCCGCCAGTCAACACATTTCTCATCCCTGTGATCGTAGCCTTCAGCTCTCCCCTCTCTGGCACACGCGTCCAACTCTCTTTATGGTTGCAGGTGATCTTCCCGCGCCTGTGTTGTTCCTGAATACAACCTCAGCTCAGGAGGGGGAGCCGGTGTCAGCCCAGTGTGCGGATCTTCCCATCGCTCATGTTACCAAAGTTATTTTCTGTAAGGATGGGGTGGAGCTTTCCCGCCAACTAGTCCACCCAGAACAGATCAGTTCCCGGCTGATCCTCAGTGCCTCCCTGAAGAGCTCAGGGCGCTACTCCTGTGGGTATCAGCAGGAGGATGAGAGAAGCCAGATGGCCCGCTCTGAGCTCAGTGCCCCCTTGCAGTTGAAGGTCACAGGTGAGTGGTTGACAGATACACACAGTGGGCAGGGGAAAGGGATCAAAATGGCAGGTCTCCAGCATTTGGTAAGTTATTCTCTACCACCCCGCCTGCACCCGGCCATCTCAGGAGTGTTTGAATGATTTTCTGCCCCATCTCTGGTGTCCTCCACTAGCATGAACTAACTCTCGGTAAAGCTGTAGTGAAAACAGGGCAGTTTGGAGATGTCACATGTCTTAGCAGGCACATCTCACCTGACTCGGTTCATTAATATTTGGGGCTTAGGCACCATGGTGATGGGGCAGACAGAGACGACCCTAACCCTAGAGACTATTCTTCTCCAGCCATGGCGGGGGACAGGCAGGATGGTGTAACACTGCATGTATCTTACTGCATATCTCTCACTTCTGTGACCCCTCTGTGATCCCGTAAGCCATGCTACATTGTGTGTATGGGAGGGGCAGTTTGGGTCCCGATCCAGTCATCAGAACTGGCTGTGAGGACCCGTGCCAGCATGGATCTCACTGCAGTGAGATAAGGGGTAAGCAGTGAGGTAGTAAAGTTTGCAGATGATACCAAACTGTTTAGGATAGTCAAGACAGAAGCAGACTGTGAGGGACTCCAAGAACATCTCACCAAACTGAGTGATTGGGCAACAAAATGGCAAATGAAATTTAATGTGGATAAGTGTAAAGTAATGCACATCGGGAAAAATAACCCCAACTATACGTACAGTATGATGGGGGCTAATTTGGCTATGGCAAATCAGGAAAGAGATCTTGGAGTTATCGTGGACAGTTCTCTGAAAACTTCCACACAGAGTGCAGCGGTGGTCAAAAAGGCAAATAGGATGCTAGGAATTATTAGGAAAGGGATAGAAAATAAGACCCAGAATATCTTACTGCCCCTGTATAAAACTATGGCACGCCCACCTCTTGAATACTGTGTACAGATGTGGTCTCCTCACCTCAAAAAAGATATTTTGGCCTTGGAAAGGGTTCAGAAAAGGGCAACTATAATGATTAGGGGTTTGGAACGAGTCCCATATGAAGAGAGGCTAAAGAGACTGGGACTTGTCAGTTTAGAAAAGAGGAGACTGAGGGGGGATATGATAGAGGTCTAAAAAAGCATGAGTGGTGTGGAAAGGGCTGATAAAGAAAAGTTATTTATTAGTTCTCATAATAGAAGAACTAGAGGACACCAAATGAAATTAATGGGTAGCAGGGTTAAAACTAATAAAAGAAAGTTCTTCTTCACACAGCGTGTAGTCAACCTGTGGCACTCCTTGCCAGAGGAGGCTGTGAAGGCTAGGACTATAATAGAGTTTAAAGAGAAGCTGGATAAAATTCATGGAGATTAGGTCCATAAAAGGCTATTAGCCAGGGGATAAAATGGTGTCCTTGGCCTCTGTTTGTCAGAGGCTGGAGAGGAATGGCAGGAGACAAATCGCTTGATCATTGTCTTCGGGCCACCCTCTCTGGGGCACCTGGTTCTGGCCACTGTCGGTAGACAGCATACTGGGCTAGATGGACCTTTGGTCTGACCCAGCACGGCCGTTCTTATGTTCTTATGCAGGGCGGGGAGCCTCTGTTTGCTTTAATGTTTTGACTTACGTTTAAATGTCAGTGTCAGCATTTCCCCAGAACAGGCTATTTATATTTAGAGATGTCTGTGACTCACCATTGTTGTCTGGTGCAGGTGCTGGGTTCACAGACCAGGAATTCTGCAGCTCCCCGGGTGAGTGTGTGAACCGAAGAGACATGGGAAAGAAATGAACAAAATCCATCAGGCCCTTTTAATGGGGGGAGATGGGAAGGGAGAATCCTATTGCACAATCCCTGCCTGAAACCTTGTGGGAAAATGATCTGTCATGTTCCTGTACCAGACATGGACTGGGCACAGAGCTTCCTTCATTGTGAGGTGTGTTCCTCGTAAGATCCTGTGATGCTCTGACTGGTCTCACTTAAAAACATTATTTTACACGTAGCACACCTAATGGCTGTCAGCATCCTCCAGTTTAGCTTTCCATTCTATCTCCCTCTCTAAGTTCTACATTCCTGTTATTTATGATATTTACATATCCTGCTGCGTTAGAAATTCCACACAGTTCAGTCTGTTGATTTTCGCTGAATTGTGCTGCTCTTCTAATGACGCAATCTGTTTGGGTAAAAATTTAGCCATCTGGCTGTTCTTTGGATGCAATCTGGAATCATTGTGTCTTCTTCTTCTTGTGCTTTTTCTGCCAGCTCTAGAGTTTTCTCTAGTAATTGTCCATTCTAAAAATGAACCGTAGAAGCTGACAGTTTCCTTTGTATTTGCTACAGTTACTCAGGAACATATGTAGCACTTGGGTTGAATCACATTAACCTTATCAATAGACATTGACATCTCAGTGGTGTGTGATCCCGGTCTTTCCTGTTGATGAGGGATACACGGAGTTTGTGGTCTCTCATCAGTGTAAAGCCAATCCAATCCATGCAGACATCTGTCAGACTTCTCAGAGGGCTTGGCACCCTTTCCTGGCTGTGCAGATTAGTTTTCTGCTACTGTGAAAGGCCAAGAGCGAAATGCAGCTGGCATTGCTCAGAGCCCTGTGATTGCAACAACACCTCAGCTGGGCAAACTACTGCCCCCTTTTAATCTGGCCCCGCAGCTCTCCCTGGGGAGCAGGGTTGGGAGCATGCCCCACTCTGGTACTCCTGCTGGGGTGTGGGATCAGGGTTTTTCCTTCCCTGCCACCCTGAGATGGTTTTTAGCCATCCGGAGGGATTTGCTTGGAGGTCTCATGACATTGCGCTTCCTCTTCTCAGAGCATGGCCCCCGGGAGTTTTGGGGGACATGGCTGCCCTGCTGGAGGCAGAGCTGCTTTGGGGGAACCCCGCTCTCAGTCTGCACTCTCCAGAGCCTGTCCCCCAGCCACCCATCACATGTCCCCTTGTATCTTTCAGGCTCAGCCATGTCTGTCTCCGTCTGGATCCTCCGCTATGTCTTGGCAATTCTCCTTCTGGTGTCTGCCCCGATCATCACCTTCATCCTGAAGAGAATGGACCCTCGCTAAGCCTGAGCTGCCAGACTGGAGTCCCCAGGGGATGTGACATGCCCCCATCCCTTCCACTGTCCTGTGCCCCCCAGCCTTGTCCATCCAGCTCCCAGTTTCCCAACACAGTGCTCTGTGGTGCCTCCTATGCACCCTCCTTGCTCTGTGCTCCTCCACACAGGCCTTGTCTGGTTCCCCTGTCTCCCACTCTGTCTGTCTGCCCTCCCTCAATGTCTCCTCAGGGACTGTCCCCTCCGCAAGGCCTAGGCAGTACCCAACACATTGTGGGCCCTGTGCCAAACAACCAATAATACCAATGATCCAGGTAGGCATGTGGCTGAGTCTAACAAAAAGTCCAAGGTGGCTGAGCCCCTGGATTCTCACTGGTGTATGCAGCCTATGGGGGTGCAGGGCGCATGTGTAATATGCTCATTTCCTTCACCACAGAAAGGGGCTGCTGCATTTCCCAGCCTGCGCCCCCTGCCAAGGGCACTGAAGAAGGGAGGTCTAGGGGTTACCATGGTGATGCCCAAGTCTAAGGCCTTCTGTCTGGCTCAGACCCAGAGGAGAAGGATGTTTGTGAAGCCTGTCACAATCCAGGAGACCCTGAGGAAAGCAGAGTTTGACCATGTCCCACACGGCAAACCCCAGGGCAGGGGAATCTCTGAGTTTGGGCAGTTCCCTCATGATAAATCCCAGGGACAATTTCCAGGCAGGGTCCCAGTTTAAATTGTGCACACATGGAATACAAATGATGGGAGAGAAACTGAGGCACAGAGCAATGGGATGATTTGTCCTCAATTATCATGAAGAACCATGCCTAGACTCTAGGTTTGCTGATTCCCACGCATGTGTCCTAGCCACTAGGCATCACTTCCTCTTGTGTCTAAGGACTGTCTGTGTCTCTGGGTGTGGGAAAGGGGTCAGGGCACGTCACTCTCTGGGGTCATTCCAATGACCACTTTCCTGCTGGATTCAGAAACAGCCCGTCTGCTGCGGTCCATGGTGGGGCCCATGTTATCCCACAACAAATGGCTGCCTTGGTCCATGTCAGTGAGCGACCAAACCAGGGAGGTCTCAGCTCGACTCAAGTCTCATTCTGGGCATCTGAAGCCAAGATGAAAGACATTTCCCAGACATTCCAGTTGTTCACTCTCCTCCATGAATGCTACTGTCTCCCAGCCACACTGCTCCAGAACTGGGCGGCCAGCTCAGCCAAGGCAGATGGGAAGAGCTGCAGGGAGAGCCCCAAAGAGACAAAGTGAGCTGCAGATTGTGGCGCTGGGGACTCAGAAGGGTCCCTGGGACCCAGCCCTGAGCTCATCAGGGGACCAAATTCTAAGGCACATTTTACTGAGATTTCATCAATAAAATTTAAAAAAATGGAGGAAAGAGTAAAAAATGTACATTAATATAAACTGATGTGTGGTTACTGATCTATCGTGGAATCATAGAGCACTAGAACTGGATGGGATCTTGAGAGCTCATCAAGTCCAGTCCTCTGCTCTTACGGCAGGACTAAGCACCATCTAGATCCTCCCTGACAGGTGTCTGACTCACCTGCTCTTATATAACTCCAGTGATGGAGATTCCACAACCTTCGTAGGCAATTTATTCCTGTGTTTAACCACCCTGACAGTTAGGAAGTTTTTCCTAATGTCCAACCCAGGGGTTCCCAAACTTTTGACTTGGGGACCAGTAAATCCATTCATGAGCTTTTGGAGGACCAGTAACATTAATTTGCATATTTGCATATTCATTAAGCAAATTCTGAATATTCAAATATGTTGTTTCTGGTCCTCCCAAAGCCCCTAGTGCCAGCTTTAAGAAAGCTTTTGATACGATCACTCCCAATATTCTTGTCAGCAAGCTAAGGGAATATGGATTGGATAAATGGACTGTAAGGGTACGTCTAAACTACATGCCTCCGTCGACGGAGGCATGTAGTTTAGACGTACCCTTACAGTCCATTTATCCAATCCATATTCCCTTAGCTTGCTGACAAGAATATTGGGAGTGATCGTATCAAAAGCTTTCTTAAAGCTGGCACTAGGGGCTTTGGGAGGACCAGAAACAACATATTTGAATATTCAGAATTTGCTTAATGAATATGCAAATATGCAAATTAATGTTACTGGTCCTCCAAAAGCTCATGAATGGATTTACTGGTCCCCAAGTCAAAAGTTTGGGAACCCCTGGGTTGGACATTAGGAAAAACTTCCTAACTGTCAGGGTGGTTAAACACAGGAATAAATTGCCTACGAAGGTTGTGGAATCTCCATCACTGGAGTTATATAAGAGCAGGTGAGTCAGACACCTGTCAGGGAGGATCTAGATGGTGCTTAGTCCTGCCGTAAGAGCAGAGGACTGGACTTGATGAGCTCTCAAGATCCCATCCAGTTCTAGTGCTCTATGATTCCACGATAGATCAGTAACCACACATCAGTTTATATTAATGTACATTTTTTACTCTTTCCTCCATTTTTTTAAATTTTATTGATGAAATCTCAAGTGTTTCACCTGGCTGCATTCTCTGCCCAGCCTGGGCCAGGGCTTCAGGGACCTGGCACCACATGGACACTCCAGGAGACAGGAACAGGAGCAGATTGGGGGTAGGATATCTGGCTAGGAGGGAGGGTGCAAGGAGGGGTAGGGTTGCCAGGTGTCCAGTTTTGTACCAGACAGTCCAGTATTTGAGGGTTCTGTCTGGGAAACAAATTGAGAAAATACCGGACATAGAAATGTCGGGTATTTTCTAATTAGGTAAGTTTTATTATTATTAGGTGTATCAGTCCGTAGCTGCAAACTGCCTGGCTGGTAAATGTGCTCATGCTGCCTGAGTGTGTCTACCAGCCAGGCGGTTCACAACTACTTGAGGGAAGGTATGGGCAGGGGGGCAAAATGGAATCCCTGGGGCTGGACTCACTCGTGTGGCTAGGTCTGCATGTGCTCAGGTCAGTCCCACTTCCCACCGGCCAATTTGCTCCCCTTGCCCCCGCTTCTTCTCCCGATCTCCCCTGGACAGCCCCGCTGCCCCCGACTAGCCCTGCTTCTGGCAGCTGGTTCTCCCGCCCTCCTCCTCACGATCTCCCTCATTCAACCCCTCCCCCCCCCGTCCCGTCCCCTGGCCAGCCCGCTGCCCCATCCAGCCCTGCTTCTGGAGGCTGGTTCTCCAGTCCTCCCTCTTCCTACCCCCCCCCGCCCCTGCTTCCGCTGCCCACACGCCCCAATCTCTGCTGGACGCCCGCTGCCCCATCCAGCCCTGCTTCTGGAGGCTGGTTCTCCAGTCCTCCTTCTCCCAACCTCCCCCGGCCAGCTCCCCCGCCCCCTGTCCAGCCCTGCTTCTGCCGCCCGCCCCGATCTCCACCAGACAGCTCCGGGCAGGAAGGGGGCCCGGAGCCCTGGCTTTGGGTGTGAGTAAAAGGCTGTGGAGGGAGAAGATGCCAAGACAGAAACCAACTCACGTCAACAAAATGCCCTTGTGTCTCCCGTCTTAGGGGACAGTGGAAGCTCATGGGAAAATGGTGGAAATTATCAAGAGATATTTGCCCTTTTCCAGGGAATGGATTTAGAAATTCACTAGTTTGGGATCAGCAGGATGAAGCCTGTCACAGGAAGATTTCTATGGGAAGCCAGGAGGTCCAGCACTCCCCGGCACAGAGACCAGACAGCGTGTGTGGGGGATTGTTAATAATGTTTCTGTTCTCAACTCATGGGGAAGAGGCCCCTCTGTCCACAGACACGTCGGGGCCTCTCAGACATGCAACAGGAGCCCAGAGCCTGTCCCAGCTGGAAGAAGGAGGGGAAAGGGGACACAGGACACAGAGCCCTGGGGCAGCTCATCAGAGACCTAGACCTAGATGCTGCTGTGGGGCATTCTGCCTGAGTCACCGGCTCTCGACTCCACCATGATCCTGCTGTGGCTGCTCTGTGAGTTTGCAGTGAGCTCTCTGCCTAGAGGCTTTGGGGAGGTAGGTTTAGGGCTCTATCTGGGCTGGGGGGTTAGAGGCACTAGCCTGAGGGGGAGTTATAGTAAAAATGGTTTCAACATACAGCTGCCTGTGGGCATTCTACAGAGCTCCAAACAGTTATTTCAAGTTGGGCATAAAAACTGATTTGAAATTTATGGACCAAAGGTTCTTGCTAATTTCTGAGAGAATATTTAATCCTTAGAACATTGTTCTGATAACTAGCTCTTTTGCTTTATATAGAATGTCCCTGTGTGTGATTTTTAAAGCTGCCTAAGGGATTTGAACACCTTGCTCAAATTCATTGCAACTGAGCATCCAAATCACCTACCCAGCTTTGAAAATCTGAGCTTGTGAGCAGATGGGTAAGAGTATAGAGACTGGAGCTGCATGGAAAGGGTCATACTGAGGTTACAAATCAAGAGATGGCAGGGTTAGAACTGACTACACAGAGCTCATTTCAGGGAGGAGGCCAAAGAATCAAAGCTGATTAGGAAAGTAGAGCGTGGGAAAACATTGGGAAGATCATTAATGTTTGTGTGCTGGATTTCCTGCAGGTAACAGGTGCAGGTGATAGTAAAACACACATCAAAGTGTTTTACTATTAGAAACTTTAATGGCGACTTTAATCCTGCCTTGCAAATATTTCTCATGGATGGATCTGATTGTAGAATTGGGGTCAAAGGTTCCTGAAACACCCAAGTTGAACTTCTGACAGTGGCAGACCATAAACATTACAGGAAATGAAATGCATTTGGGCCAGCAGGTGTAAATCAGCTTTGCTCTGTTGGCTTCAATGGAGTGGGGCAGGTTTACACCAACTGGGGATCTGGTCTAGTGTAATCAGGATACACATCTAACAAACTTTCCATGTGTAAATCTTGGCAGGTGCTAATACAGGTCTGTATTGACGAGCACAGGGCACTGCACTAGAATGAATTAGTCCTCAATCTCCTGCCTCACACAGTTATTATTTGTATTCCAACATGAGGAGAGAGGGCTTATTCGATGAGCCAAGCAGATTTCACAT